AATTGGCCCCCAGATTTTACAATCTCATTTATATCTCAAAAAAATTGATTTGCATCACCAGATAATTTTGATTATGAAAGTCAGATAGGATACAAATTTCATACTACAATATAACTTTTATCTCACACTACTATCTTTAATTCTACCAAACACAATTTGAAAAATAAAAGTCAATCATGTAAATAAATACTCCATCTTTTTCAATCTATCTAGACAAATTTTTTTCGAAAATTTCATATCCTTTTGCACCCTTAATGGCGTGGTCTATCGCGCTGTAGAAAATTTGTAAACAAAGCCTAAAAAAATATCTGCCGACTCAAGTACAAATGATAACCAGAGTTAAATTCACTAAAAAAGTCTGGCTTGGAAGTTCTTGTTTGAATGTTGCTGCTGTTTAACTGATTTCAGCAAGTTTCTCAATTACAGCAGAAACAATACCTTTCAGCATTCCCTGTGTAGGAAGGTAAAAATAAGCAAAATCAAAATGAACTCAGAGGTTAAATAGTGTACTCATTTGCCTTGGCTGAAATTTGAAATATACGATTACACAGCATAGTGAAATACCATAGAATGGTCTCTCAGGCCAAGAGATAATACCAATGCTTTTCCGGATCTCTTGCTGCAGGCATAACAGAAACCGTTTAAAAGATTACGGTTCAACCAGTTGATAAATTAAATACCATTAATTACACATTAAAATGGTACACATGAAAATACCTTATGTGTTCAACCAATTGCCTTGCACAAGCAACAAGCATTGGCTGCAAATACTCACGCTCATGTTATTATACATCAAAATCCTGCACTGGGTATTAAATAAGCAACTAACCGTGATACGAAAAAATTACCTCATCTCGTTTGCCGAACACTACATTCACCGTGAATGTTGGATCAACTGAAACACTTTCCTCTTTCCTAATTAACATCAACCAAATAAGAGCAATCCAAAAACATATGGACAAGGAATTCAATTACATTGCGAGCAGCAATTTACAACAACTCAAAGCCCCTATTTAACTACTTCCTCAAGCAAATGATTCTAGAGCAACAAAAAACAGAGCATTATTAGTGCCTCTAATTCTTCACGAGGGGCCGAACCAATTAACAACTCACATAGACTAATGTGGCCTGAGGGAGGAAGAAAACTTTAGATTTTGCTAAAAATGCTAGACTTGCAGCTAACATTAACTCGAGTAAATGTGTGATGTATCTATTTAGTTATAAGCATCCAAAAATCCACCAAAACCTCACACATTATCTAGAATTACGAGGGTCATTAGAGAAGAGCAAAAGAAAATTATCTCAATCTCAATTTCGCTTTCATGCACTACTCCAACATAAGTGTTTAACTACTTTAACACCTAGCTTCAATCCAAATGTTCGTACTTACCTATTAAACATGACTCGATGCAAAATTATATGCTCGAAAGTTAATATATAACAAAAACTAAACCCATCCTATTGCCATTGCAATCTGTAACAGGTCAAAAACAACTCCAGTTTTCACCTTATCCCCAATAAATCTCTACCATTACATGATAAATCTGCGTTAGTACTTTAATCAAACACCTCTCGAACTTGCAGAAAATTAGAAATCAAACACATAACAATGAGGAAATAACAGTATGCGAGTAGACCTAGCGTGCATTATTGTCCCCATGCTTCCAATCTGAGTTGCCATAACCTGGAAATACGCGAACAATATCGAGAGGGATACTAAATGAAATTTGAATATCAACAAAAATAATAAAATAAAATAAAAAAAATAATCTTACAAGAAAATGATCTTCATAGCTGCTTATGACAATGTTCGTCTTGTGCCCCTGCGATTAACCAATCAAACACACGCACACATAACACACACACACACACACAAACACACACACACAACTGCGAGTCAAACAACCTAAAATCACGATACTGGAAAAAGAGCAATCGATGCTAAAGCAAACATGTTCGTGCTAACTAATGTTTCGATCTAAAAATAGCTCGAAAAAAGGAATTCATGAGAAGTGGCGGGAGAAAATTTCAGGAATTAACCATAAATAGCAAATAATTACTACAAATTACATTAAAATCGGCGAAAATCAAATGAACGGACAATCTCACCTTGATATCTAAGCAGTGAGTTGTGTGGCGTATCGGAAAAGCAGCATCCGGTGCTTCCATCCCTTTCTATTTCGAGACTGTAGGTTTTTCTATGCACATTTTTATAGTATCTGTAAAAATTTTATATAGT